TTGGTATTTCACTTACTGGCCCCAACATTTGAAGTCACACAATCTGCCTACTCCAATATATTTGTGTTTCTACATGAAGAACTATACTGGACATCCCTTAGGCAGAAAATCACTCAGAGGCAGTATGATTATTTACTTTTCCAAAATGACCATTGAGGTCTTTCCTAAGTCACCGCTTTCCAGGTTACAGTTTTCTATGCTGCAGGAGTGACCCATATTTTTTCTTTTTTATATGTCTGTCTTTATTTGGTTGCATTTAAAGGCACTGCTTGAAAGGACCTACTCTCCAGATTTAAGTGACTGTCCTGTATCATTTTTAAGCATTCCACTCATTTTTGTGTCATCTGTAAACTTTATGGGAATGCTTTTATATTATCCTCCATCTGCTTCATAAAGACACTGGATCACATTGGTTCAAGAACAGATCTTTGAGGGACTCCATTAAAAGCAGCGGGTATGATGCCCTTTTGAGCTCTATCAGTCAGCGTTGGCCAGTTTTGGTCAAATGAATATGCACCACATTGCTTTTGGACAGCATAGGGTTTTTTTGGTTCTGTTTTGGGTTTTTTTTAAAGAATACATGGTAGACTTTTTGTAAGGTGTTTTGAGCCAATTGGGCCAACAGAAGTGCTTTCCCTACCTGTTTGTAAGCTCATTGAAGAAAATCATGGTAATTTGATAACACCTGCTTTCTACAAAGCTTGGTTTAGAAAGACCCTTAGAGTTGTACTTCATGGCAAAGGCACCGTGAGTTCTATACTGAAAGGCTAACAAAAGAACTGGCAATGGTCCTTTTTAATGGAGGCTATATAACTTTCATGGAGAGTGTATTTGAGTAAGTGTGCGGAGAACTCAATTCCAAAAATATGTAGGAAGGCCAGTATAGCGATGTATGCAAGGGAGGGAGCGAGAGAGCGGGGAAATCTGTAGAGAGAACTTAATGCTAAGGCTGCACATTAATTCAGTGCCACAGCACCTTTCGGAAAGAAGGGGAATGTATATATTAAGGGAGAAATAGCCTCCAATACAGTCCACAGTCCAATGCCTTGTAAAAATCCTCCAGCTTCCTTTTTCATTTGTGGAGAGTGTGGGGAAGAAGGTGAAGTGTTCATTCGCGGGGACTGAACTCCTCTCTTGTCAGCAATGCTTTAAGCAGGCAGTCTATGTGATTTTCACCTGGTTATTCTAATGCGAGTGTGTGCGAGAGGAAGCGTGCTCGCCAGGCTCTCTCAGAAGTTGTCCCGTGCCGAGCCCGGCCGGCCGTCAGGTGCCGCAGCAGCCACTCTGGCCCGTCTCCTTTAAGATGCGGGCGAGGGGGCTGCCCGGGGAGGAGGAGGAGTTATGTAGATCACGGATGAACATTCTGGAGTGGAGGAGAGCGGGGCGAGGAGCGAGCCGAGGCAGAGGCAGAGGCAGAGGCAGAGGCAGAGAAGGGAGCAGAGGCAGAGGCAGAGGCAGGCAGGCAGCCGAGGCCTTTCCCAGCAGGAGGGGGAGGAGGGGGAGGACACCGAGAGGCGGCTGCCGCGCGAAGCAGAAGCCGTGCAGGAGCCGCGGCGGCACTCGGGCGCCACATTCCCTCTGCACGGGGCTGGCGATGTGGATGAGCAGGAGCTGACCCGGCTGCCGCGAGCCGCGTTTTGGAGCCGAGTGTCCGCTTCTCCTCCTCCTCCTGCTGCTGCTGCCCCCGCGCGGCTCGACCCGCACGCGGGGGTGCCCGCCGGCACGCGGCTCGCCCGCCCGCTCGTGGAGCAGGAGCTCTTCCGCCCGCTGGAGCCCGGGCACTATGATCGTACTCCCATTCAGCACTGGGAGCCGCTTGGATTTCGTGCAGCCGTCCCGGGGGGAGTTCTTGCAAGCCTTGCTTTGGATTTTATGTGCTACGGTGTGCAGAGCGGAGCAGTATTTCAATGTGGAGGTAAGGTCGGGCTCGGGGATGTGAGCAAGCGGGGCTGCTGCTCTGTGCGCCCATCTGGTTCCGGTTTTTCCTCCCCTTCCAAGGGCTGCTTCTGAAATATCTGGGTTGATTCAATAAAGCGGCAGCTCCCCAGCCATGTCTTGTGAGCAGCCAGGACACACACACACACAACATACACATATATATATAACACACACCACACAGACATCACACATCACAGACACATCAGACACACATCACACACATCAGACATATCGCACACACACGCATCTCTCTCAAGCACACACACATACATAAAGGTTTGTCTTTCCTGCAGCAGATAGCCCAGTTCATCTGTTCTGAGATCTCTTGTTCGATCCGTGCCTTTCAGACCCACAATCCCGTTATCTCTGGCAGCACAAAGCATGATGCTGAGCGCTAGAGCACATCACTGTGCCCTGGCAATGCCCCTCACATACGGTGTGTGTGAAACCCTAAACACAAACCCCAGTGCCACGAGAAAAGCAGCTGGCATGCAATATATACAGAACAGCACAGGGAATGTGGCACCATCATCCCTGACTTCAGATGTGTTGCTCTTATTATTTCTTTGTGGGGTTTTGTTTTTTTGGAGGAAGGATGAATGAAAGGGAATCTAAGGTGGGCCTGAGGTGTGGGAGAAGGAAACGTGTTAGATTAGCATATTTCTTTGTCACTAGATATTTGTCAGACTATTAATTGAAACATACCCATTTTCTTGTAACTTGAAATGACTGAACAAATGGCACATAGGTGCAGCTACTGAACAGAAGTTGGAGGGCGGGGCAGGGGAAGAAACTGTTTTTCCTTTAACGTGGAAGAATAAATGTGGGGTTACCCAGGCAGGGCCAACCTTAGGAACTTTACTGCCATAGTGAAATTTCAGGGTGAACCTCCATCTCCATCTCCTCCTCTAAGCCAGCCGGTTTTTCAGTTGTTATTCATGCTTTCCATTAAGTACTTTGACTTTTTCTCTTTCTTGGAATTAGTCTCCCTTCCTTTTCCTTCCTTGATTCTTTTCCTCCTACTGTGCGCCCTGATGCATCTTTTTGTTTCTGAATCTTTTCCTCATTCTTTTTTCCCCCAATCTCTCTTTCTCTCCAGTTCTTCCAGTTCTCCCTCTCTCTCCCTTCCCCGTGCCTCCCTACTTTACACGTTTCTCCAGTCTCCATTCACATTATCATTCTGTCCTTCTGCTACCTCCCCTTACCCTTCTCTCTCCAGTCTGCCTCTACGAACTTTCTGCTGCACCCATACACCATACACAGACACTCACTCCCATCCTGACTCTCTCACACACACGCTTGTATTCCTAGAGCTCCTTCTGATACAAATATACTCTTGTCCCCAAGATCTTTCTCTCTCCCGCATACATTCCCACCCACACGCATCTGTCTCCTCTTCTCACAGCACCTCCTTTCCCCATCCCAGCTTCCACCCATGAGGCTGAAGTTGGTTCCTTATTCCCGGTTCCCAATTCTTTGGTCCCCGTTCCTCGTTTTTTCAAAGCTAATCTTTACACAATAAGGACCCACAATTAATAATTTCACCCTCAACTTTCACCTACTAATGTTTGTTCTTGCCGTTTCCTTCTGGTAACAAAATCTTCCTCAGATGCACCCTGGTCCCTGGATCAGGTCTTACCATAACAAATCCTTACATTTTGTGTCTTTTCTCCCTCCACACACATCTCCTCAAACCACTCTTGGTGTCCCCCAAGATGGTAAATTCCCCTTATACCCTCCCCAAGATCTTTTATGTATCTTGTTCCGATAGAACAAGATAAAGCAAGAGAAAGATAGAGTGAGCCAGAGAATAGTTTGAGGGGAGCATGAAGAGACGGCCACCCACAAAACTCACCAGCGTGCACACTTTTGGTCTCCCCTCTGAAAGCTCTCCCGTCATACGATACCAGTTGTGTCCTTTCTGTCACTAAGAGTTCACCAGCCACACATTTTTTGGGCTCATCTTCCCAAGATCTCTTAACATAAGATGCATCAGTGGTCTTGCTTTGTATACCCATATAATCCTAGTTTCTCTACCCCAGCAGTAAGATCTTCGCTCCTAGCCACACTTTTGGTCTTCCTTGTCACTACTGCTTATCCACCACTATTATTCTGCCCCCTTTCCCTCCACCACATTTTCCCCCAATATATTGTCCTTGTATTAGATTGTAAACATTTTGGGGCAGGGACCATGACTTTAACTGTGTTTCTGCAGTGGCTAGCACAATGGAAACCTGACCCTGATAACAGTTTTTGGAAACTACTGCAATCTAAATAAATATTACACTTTTACACCTCGGGACTCACTCGGGCATTTTGATCTTTTACTTGTCCATGGGCTCAATTTCCTTTTTCCATTTGTGGATATGGGCTAGGTAGCTGGATAGCCCTCTGTACCCTCTCTAGGTTTCCCACACTAGAGGATAAAGAAGAAGTTCTAGTTACAGAGCTTCCTCCTTCAACTGTAGATTGCTTTGCCAGCAGCAGGCTCTTCTGGAGAGACGGGCAGCAGATGGAGCTAGTGTGGGAGGCAAGAGAAAGATAGAGTGAGCCAGAGAATAGTTTGAGGGGAGCATGAAGAGAAGGCCAGCCACAATAGAAGAGAGGGTTTCAAGGAAAAGTAGAAGCACTCATTTTTTGTCATTCCTGCCTTATGGAAAATGGCAGATTTGGGGGACAAAGAGAGTACCATGAAGAATAAAAATAGCTGGGGGTGGAGGGGTAGGAGCTAGGGGAGGGAGCGGGTACCCATGAGATTCTGTACATGCTATCTTTCTTTTCCTTTGGAGTGTAATACCAGCTGTTTTGCCTTCATCCTTGGATAGAGCTGAAATTTTCAGTTCTCTTTTGTTGTTATACTGAGAGTAACCATGGTCACAAAGCAGGGGAATGCAAAGCAAAAGATTTCATAATAGTGTGGTGGTACTGTGCCACTCGATTCCTTATGTCTGCATCAGCCCTGTAAAACTCTTAACCCCTGTAGTAAATTGCTAACACAGAGTATGGTGAATTTATTTCAAGAGCCATTAAACTAAACACTGAAAATAGCCTGTCTCTAAAAAGTGCCCTTGGTCAAACTCATTGCCACATGATTCTGGTAGTTTGGAAAACAAAAGATGATGTTACTGCCTTTATCCAAAAAGGGGCTTTCTATGAATTCAAGATTTATTTATTTTACATGCTCTTGTTATACTAAAACTTGTATGAAATGTTGATATACCTGTTGGGCATTGGAAATGTGGGTCTGTCCTTTTCCTCTTGTAATTGTGCTTCATTTAGTCTAACATGTTACATGTTAAGTAACATTTATATATAAATCTTGATATCTTTGTTTATGACTCAGATGTGTTAGACTGTGAGCAAGATTAATTCTCAAGGGATATTATTGACTTTCATAGTTGTTAAATATTGGTAGTATGTTCTTGACAAAAACGTAGGACGCTGAACTTTGTACTCTTGTGTGAGCATTACTGTCTTTTATGTTGTCTGCAAAATTTGTTCTGGCTATAGGGAAGAGTTTCCAGTGCTTCCAATGGTAGCTGATTTGTAATTTCTGAAATGGAGGAACATCACTGATAACGTTTATGTAATACATAGTGTTTTGATACATTTCTCAATGAGCTATATCTAAACAAGAATAATATATTTATTGCCTTAACCACAGTATTGCCTTAAAGGTTCCACACTTAATGTAACTGAAGTGAATGCAAGGGTTACCCTGACTTATATAAGAGAGTGCTGTATCCATGGTTTATTTTAAGTATTCATGAGTGTTCAGGTAGTCACTGTGAAATCTAGGATTCATGTCAGAATCAGTTAAAGAAGCTTTTAGCTTTTATTTTTTTAAGTTTATGGGTATCACTAGAGTTTTGGTGATCATCTTTGAACACGTTGCCTATATCGTAGGACAGAATAAAATCTAGACTGTCAAACTCCACTGTGCTGAGACATTAATCATAATAGCATTGTCATTGAAGTTGTCAAGTCTACTTGTGTGAGCAATTGTGTACCAATGCTTATAAGTTCTCAGGCTATCCCCAAGTGTTTTGTTTAGGTTCATTTCGGAAGTAAGATGCATCCATGAGTTTCTAAAATGGGATAATACCTTTTACCAAAATATTTGAAATTTAGACTTACCCTGCTAAGTGGTTGATCTTTGATATAGAATTCCTGTAGTAATCTGCCGAGATTTTTTTTGAAAATCTATGTAGAAGAATGTCATTTTCAGGTGAGAAAATACTTTTCTATTAGGTTTTTAATTATTTTTTGCATTGATTGATAATTAAGAATTTCCTTGGCAATTTCCCCTGTTGAAGATCTACCGGAGGAACATCTCTGCTAACATCTGTAGGAGTTGGCAAGGATTAAAGCAGTAAACGTGACTCTTAGATGTGTAATGTTTTCATAAAGTTGACACTTATCTACAGTTAGGGGTCTGGGACAGACATTGTGTAAACTGGTTTGAGCCACACAGTTAAGTCAGATTCTACATTCAACCAGGTTGATCTCAAACCGGTTTCAGCCATTCTCAAACTGGTTTATGTGCACTGAACATCTGTTCTGCTACAGGTTTAAACCAGTTTCCGATCACTTAAATTGGTTTATGTGTAATGTCTCTCCCTAGCCTGAGTGTTTCTATTCTTCAGTTGTTTATTTACATGGGATTAGAACCAGGTTCACAATTTTTAATAGAAAAAATTCTCCTCAGTCAAGCTGCCTGTGTCAACAGACAACATAAGTATCGTAAAACTGTTTTCATATCCAGACTCTGATCCTGCATATCCTTACTCATGAGGGTAAAGATGCATTGGCCTGGCAGCCTTATCCAAGTCAATGGAACTGAGCATTTGAGTAAGGATTATTGGGTAAGAGAGGATTTGGAGGATCTGGGCTGATCTCATTAAGTGGATCGGTGTTGTGAGAAATCCTAGCGACAATATTGTTCCTCCTGATCTCTTGTCTAATGCAGACTATTAT